CTATCATCTGATGGTGTTATAGTCCAATTCAACCTGGAATTGTAGCTTACCTTTTAATTGCAGCATCAGTCCTTTCTTAAGTAATCCTGACTTACTGGATCTTTATTATGTCTTTTTTCTGGCATGTACTTATATCCTGTTGAAAAAAACATGGTGGTCTTTAGCTCTTCCTTTCGTTCCTCACATTATCAGACTGGCAGCTACTAACATATAGACAAGCTCACATGGATTGCTAATGAAACCTCTGATCATGTCATGATCTGTACTTCTCATCCATATGTTCTGGTTCTTGCTAAGTAGAACCTATTTTTATTGTTTACAATTCATACTCTCCTTGATGCTGACCTTTTATGGCTCTCAGTATTACATTGCCTGCAAGCTCCACATAGCTCACTCCATGTGTCATAAATAATAATATTTCTCTCAATTAAATATTCTCATATTATTATGCTTACACAAAGGGCTGAAGCCTGACTCTCTACTCAGTCTTGCAGATGATTGAATAGGAGACTCTGCTCTTGAATGAATTACTTTAGCACTTAAACATTTCTGACAAAAAAATGACTTGGTGGCAATTCAATTGCTGTCTTTAGAGCAGAGATGGCATTGGCTTTGGCAATCCCAGCAGCCACAGCAGTCATTGCCTTAACTCATTTCCATCCAAATTGCCCAGACCATAAATGGCTATTTGCAAAATATTACTTCTGAGTTTTTAACTCAAACCAGTATTTATAAGAATATTTTGCAAACTGGAAGTATTTGAAGCCATAGTAAGATGGCTTAGTGAACATCAACTAGCTCTTTGAATACATAGTACATGCAACTCTGTTCCTAGTTAGTATTCCATATGCATCCTTCCAATTCTACATAATCATTCTGAATCTTGGAAAAATTCCAAGCTATGATCCATGGTACTTTTCATGCTTATCTCAGTGGAAAGACTTCACCTCTTCAAGATAGACTAAAGACCCAGTTTTATATACTTTAACTAAAAGCTCATAATAATACTTTAGATCATCTCAATGGTATTGTTTACTAGATAAACCATGGAAACTGTTTCTTTGATCTCAACTGTCACATCTGAATTCATACAGCTACTAGAATAATCTTTTTTCTCCTCTTTCCTAGAGTTCTAGGAGTACTTTGTATGTTTTTTCAGCAGATCTGCCTTGCGAAAGACGTTGCAACTGTCTCACATCAACCCCTATATCCTTCTGTGCTGTACTTTAGTCCCATTTGATCAACTTGGATTGTAAAACACAAAGTGGGGGGGGGATAGTAGGGACACTATGGCTAAAGGAGTGAATGAAACAATTGGTGAGATGAAAGAATTCTCTATGGTGATGGTCTAAGTTTCCTACACTGCATTGTTAAAAATTAAAACTTACAAAGGCAACAGCCAAGCAGGACCGAAAATAGGTATGGTAGGAGCTAAACTTAGATATAGTTTTCCAGACACTCCTCTTTTCTTCCCAATTACTTTCTTGAGTTAGGGAAATATGAATCACTGCAGACCACCTTGTCTTTTCCCTGTTTTTTTTTTTTTTTAAATGTGAATTCCTACACAGGTGTCGCTCTTTTGTCCTTTTTCTTGTGTCCTAGTTCTATTAATTAAAACCCACAGAAGATTCAGATTGGAGCTGTTCTTACTGAGAGTCTCATGTGTAGCTGGCGTGAGTAAATCAGTCCCTCTGGGCTTTTGAAATTAAAGCTGAAAATGGTCTCTAATTTCTCAAGCTTTGTGTCACCATAGTTGTGAATAAACAAAAAGGCTATTATTATTAGGTGTGTGTGTGTGTGTGTGTGTGTGTGTGTGTGTGTGTGTGTGTTATTGAGATCAAACCCAGGAATTTTGCACTTTGCTACTTATGTTTAGACATAGTCTCCCAAAGTCACTCAATTGTCTAGGCTGAGTAAAACATGCAGCCTACTTGCCTCAGCCTCCTAGAGGGCTAGTACTGCAAGCATGTACCACTACATATAGCACAGTGTATTATGATAATCAAAATATTTAAGCGATAACAATTTTGGCATGGACTTACACACAAAGAATTTATACAATTAATAAAAGAATGCTATTTGGGGGCTGGGGATTTAGCTCAGCAGCATAAGCGCCTGCCTTGCAAGCAGGCAGTCATGAGTTTGATCCCTGGTACCGATAAAAATGAAAAAGACAAAAAAAAAAAAAAAAAAAAAAAAGAATGCTATTTGATGAGAGCTCAATGTCAAAGCATCAAGAGAGAAAGACTGCAAACTAAGAAGGATGTTTGGTAGTTCTCAAAAGCAAAAGGTTCAGTAAAAGCAGAACTGGATTCCCTGGAAAATTTAGGACATGGAAGTCATGTGATAAAATCTATTTGCACAGCTCAAACTATCATTTCCTAAGATTAGAACTATACCTTAAAGAAGTTTTAAAATGCAGATATTTTTAAAAAATATTGCAGAGAAAATGTTCAGCACTAAACAATGTGAACAGGTTTTTCATTATAAAAGTAAAATAAAAATGCAGATATTTAAAGTAAAATTATGAAAGTAATTAAATCACAATAAAAATGCAAATAAACTGGGTAGCAGGTTTGACAAAACTTAGTTCATGTGGGGAGAAATGGAGAGTGGGCTTCTCTTCCTACAGACTCCATGTAGCTTCAGTAGGTCAAAGATACAAGGAGTAGAACTAGAAATGACCAAGAAGTACAAAATGATAACTTCACACAAAGAGAAAAGAAAGAATAAAATAGAAAAGGGAACCAAAGAAATACAAAAAAAGTACTGGAACAAAAAATGTATTAAAATTCAACACAGACTCAAAGAAAATTCTAGTTCATACCATCATCTGATCAAAGATTTGAAATCAAAAGATAAATGCAAAGTTAATAAAAAATTACACAAATGAATAGGAAATGTATGAAAACAGAAAGTTACATAAAGCAATCTAGAATAAGATTTATACCCATTAAGGTATTAAATGCTTATCATTTATTTCAGATAAAATATTGAATTTATTAAAATTATAAAGAGAAAAATATTTTCACAAATACATTGATTCAGGAAAGTTGCAACTATAAAAATATTCTTAAAAATCTCATTGGACTTAATTACTACAATTAGGAAAAGGGAAGTTGTAGAATAAAGGAAAGTTGCTACAAAACTATATTGCTAAGTAGCCAGGATCACTAAACACAAAATCTGATCATCCAAAAGAAAAAGTAAGAATTAGAGTGAATTTTATTAATTCTTAAAAGAAAATTTTGATATTGTATAATATGAATGAACCTGAAAATCTTATATGTGAAATAAGCCAGAAAAAGAAAAAAAATATTGTATGATTTCCCTTAGATGAAGACACTGAAGCACTCAAATTCATAGAAACAAAAGATGATATATTGGTCACCAGGGTCTGCGAAGAGGGCTTTAGGGAATTATAAATGGAGCACAGAGTTTCAGTTTAAGACGATAAAAAATGCTCTGGAGATCAGTGGTGGTGAGGGTAGCACAGCAATGTGAATGTACTTATCATTTTAAAATGATAAATTTTATTGTATATACAGCAAAGGAATTTATGAATAAAATAAAATGCTAATCAACGTAAAATGTTAGCATAAGAAGGGATCTCATATGAGTGGAGACATAAAAATAATTGTAAAATGTGAAAGTTGTCTGATAGAAACCTGAGATTTCTTCAACTCCTGCCACCCTACTTGATGTAATGGATGCTGCACGATGTCAGCCGTGCATCATTCTTCACACATTCCACAGTATTCGTGATTCATCCAAAACCTATCAGCCTTTGCATATGCTCTAACTTTGACTTACAATTATTCTTTAAATCCCTGTGTGTGTCAGTCTTTTTCTGAGGTAGTTAAGACCCCAACTCAGTGATGGTGGAAACAATTTTCTACTGAGGCTGACAGAAGAGCAGTGGGGAGCAATGAAGGGGTACTTTATCAGAAAGAAATAAGAAAAACTCTCACTGCCTTATGGGGCTCCAAAGGACTTAACTGAGGAGGTGCTCACACTCAGGTGTTTATACGCAGGCTTTCAGTGAGTGAGTGGACCATTGTGGTGGGCACATGAAAATGAAACCATAATACAATGCAGATGTCACTTCTAGCTTCTAACATGAGGGCTAACAGGTTTCTCCGGCTCTCCAGCTTCCCCCATGGCCTTTTTTAAAAAAGAATGTGTTATTATTTTTATCTAAACTTCCAAGGGGGAATAGGTTTAGTCTTCTGTTTCTCACAGCATATCCCCATTTACACAGGCCCTCACCCTTTGAAACAGTGGGTTTTTACTCTCTGGTAGGCCCGATGTTAGAACTCAAGTTCCCTTTCTTCCCGGTCTTCTGGAACCCTGGGGCAAAAGGGGCTCTTTCTGTTTGTCTTGAATCATTCATTGAATGAATTCAACGAAATTGCTCTGAGATCCTATGGGGCCTACATTATGGATCTACTGGCCCCATTTCACCTTAGAAGCCCTTCCTTTATATGCTTATCACCATCACTATCATTACTACGTGATCTTTACACAATTATCACTATTGCTATCACCACTACTATGCTTCAGTAGTCAGGTGTCACTATGTACTCACTGCTCTGTTGAATTTAACTTCAGTATTATTTATTTAATTAATGAGATGAATTGAAAAAATTCAACTAAAAATCATTAAGCCTATGGACTATTGGCACTTGGTTGGTTGATTCATTTGTTTCCATTCAAAATGAGCTCCACAAGTAGCTAAGCCCAGCACCATTCCATATTTCAGGTAAGCTTCCCAACTCAATATGTCACTGCAGACAATAAAGTACATCGACATCAAAAACTCAACCACAAGGCATTTTGCTTCTCCAGGTTTGTGGAAGCATAAGGTAACAGGTGCACAGGATAAAGAAGGGTTGCCCATTTTATCCCTAATTTGGGAGAGCTGCTGGCCTTTAAATTCATTGGTTAAATTCAAAGGCTAAATAATTTGAGTAGCGTAGGGGGAGGAGTAGTGTGTTGCTGAGAAAGTTAGAGTCCTGTGGTCTGGAACACAATGTTTGATTCATATGCTGAGGGTAGGGGTTGTTAGAGAGGGGACATGAGGTTTGGAAACTTCAGTTCTTGATTCTTGATTCTTTGTCATGGAAGCCAGTTGTGTTCTGAGCAAAGGTATTTAGTCACCATTTCTTGGAACTCAGGATATTCATGGGGCAGAACTGGTAGTGAGCAGATGGCTAGGTCATTTAAAGCCAAAATGGAGTTGCTTGGCCTTGTGCTTTGAACAGCAAGGACAAGGCCTGTTTCTCATAGGTGAAAGGAGCCGTACAAGCTGCAAAGACCAGAAAGGCAGGTCGGAGTTGTAGGAACCATTCTTACACAGTGCACAGTGAGCTCCTCTGTGACAAATCCCTGGGGTGTGACTTACACTACAATTTTACCATAAAACAGTTGTTAACTTGGTAAGTGCTTGCTGTTTTTCCTTATACTTTTCACTGGCATGTTAGAGAAGCCTATTTCTTCATGTTCTCAGAATCATCGTAAATATGAAAAGATATACTTCATAAATCACTTACAAAAGCAAAGCATCATGAAAAAACAATGAATTATAAGGGAAAACAGCACACGCTGTTAATTTTCTTAGAGTTTTTGAACTTAGTTTCTATTCTAGCAACCCGGCACATTTTTATTTTCAGCTTCAGTCGTAATATGTGTAAAATGAGAATAATAAGTATCTCAAGCTACAAGCTACAAGCCACAATAACTATAACAAGCTACAAGTATGATTTTAAGTATGGTAAGTGCCTACCACAGTTCTTCAGAAAAGATACTTGTGATTTTTAGCAATTTTTAATTTTTTTAATTTTTTTTTTTTTTATTGGTACCAGGGATCGAACCCACAACCATGCGATTGCAAGGCAGGTGCTTATGCCACTGAGCTAAATCCCAGCCCCTTGGCAATTTTATTTTAGGGTATTGAAGTTACATGCTACTGGATCCCTTTGTGCTAATATATAATACATTTGGATACGTGGTGGCTGACAAATATACAAATATTGCTTAAACTGAAATGGATCTGCCATTTGCTACCTAATAAATCACACAAAATTAACGGAAAATATACAAATTTTTTTACAAACAGAGATATTTACATGAGTTAAATCATGTACATTTTACTTTCATTGATATATTTACTACTTTTCATAATATGCAACATTTTGCTTCTCTATTATTATTTTACATAATTAGCTTATCATAACTTCTTTCACATAATTTATTGTACCAAATGAATTTAATTTATTATAGTTGGTGCTATTTTTTTCAAAAATCAAAATTTGCTATATATTTTTAATATTTATTATTTAATTTTATGAAACTACTTATGAAATTATCAAAATTAAAAATAAATAACTGTTCTCTTTGCAAGTCTGATGAGCTTATAATGCTTTAGTAACATTCTTATTCATCTTTTTTAAAATTTTATTTTTAGTATCTCAGTTATTTTTGGTCTGTTCTTCTGTAAATTAGTCTCATAATAACCACAATTACTGGAAGTAGTATTACTGCTGTGTAATCGACATGTTAATTTGATCATTGTTTGCACAACCTTTTTTTCTGTTGCAGCCCATGCTGTTCTTGATAGTTTTATTTATTTCTGGCAGAAATCTCTTCACTCAAATTTGTTTTAAGAAGGAGATGACAATATGCTGTGTATCAACTGAAACTCTGAAAGTACTGGGTGCATAGTACTTAAGGCAGTTCGGTAATATAGAATAATTGGTTGACATTTTACCAAATAAATTTGAGGACAGTATTTTGATACTTGTGCTATGTTTGCTGCTTATAAAATGCCACTCTCTTTCTTTTTTCTTTTGTGCATTACATTTTGTCTCATACAGGCTTTAGGAGTCATTCATTGCTTTTGAAGTTCAGTGCGGACATTCCAGAGCCTAGGTATGGAATTACCTTCATATTTCTGCTTAGGTCCCAGAATGTTGCTTCTGTAAGGCTGAAGCTTTAAAAAATATTAAGGCATCTTGTTTTACAATATTGTTTCCTCATTTATTACAATAGCCTGTCCTGTGGAAGCCCTGCATTTTGCACAAAAGATCTTTTTCATATAGCCACCCAGTATTTTAAATCTTCATCTATACTTACTATCTCGGTATATTATATCCTAAAATCTCTCTTCTAATTTGCTAACTTTTCTCTGTTACTTAATTCACCAGATACTTTTTTTATTTGAATGAATTTTATTTTTTATAACTGTCATCTGCACTTTCTGGCTAATTTTTCTACACTGTTCATTTATCCCTTTGTATTTTCTTAATCTAGCATTTATCGTCAGCTTATTCTGAAAACATCTGTTTCAAAATTACCTTAAGATATATGTAATATCTTCAGGTATAAAGCAAAATTTAAAAATATTTCATCTTTCGAATTAACTCTCCTAGTTTGGATGTGTTTTCCTTCAATTTGTACTGCTATTCCTGTGAATTCCCCTGACCCTTTCCCATCTGCTTGTTTTGTGGTGATTCCCCTATAGAACACACTTGCATTTCTTTAAAAAAATGTTTTGATCATCTGGTTTCTTCTTAATTTGTAGAATGATATTAAGGTAATTGGAAGAGGAAGGAGTAAGAGTTAAGAAATGGTTATAAGTAGTTAAATGTAACAGCCAGTATATATATTTACTTACACCATGTTGACCAGGCACATTTGAGCTTTGTAATTATAGGGAAGGTAGACTCAAATTTCTGGTATTTTGTGTGTGATGCATTTCCAGCCATATTCTCTGAGAGTTGCAAAATATTCTTAGTACATCATTCTGGATTTAATTCTCTGCCTCCCTCCTCATGTTACTTCCTTTCTTCCTTGTTTGTCTGGAGATAGTAAATAAATTCATAATGTGAAACTGCTTAATTAACAATATTAAAACAGTCCTCCATTTAATCAAGTATAAAATGCAATCAGCCATATAACTTTAAAGAAAGTATATATTTTGTGGTATGCATTTCTGTCAATAATATGATACTGTTAATAGCATCTTTGTGTTAAGTTTGGAGGAATAATTTATACTTGGGATTTTCAGTGGAAGTTTATATTTATACTCAGAATAATCCATGCTCAGTATGTGCTGACTTTGGTTTATTTGTGGGTTATTTGTTTAAGGTTGCTTGATTTATTTTTACATTAAACTTAGATTTTTATCTATCAATGTAAGCACAAACATTTCAATAGAAAATTAACTCATTTAGAAATCAATAAAAATATCTTTTAAGACATATTTAAAAGCTGAGAGAATGCATAAGTTAGTGTGTGATCACTGATATTTCTCGAAGTGTTATTAAGATTATTTTGGTCATCTGTAAGGGTCGTGTTGTTGCTAGTTGATCAAGAGTTCTTTGGCTCAATTAAGGTGAAATCAAGAATTAGCAAAGTGCAGCTTCGCCAGCAATTACATTACCAAGTGACAGTAGATAATGCTGGAGTCTAACAGTTGATATGTTTCTAGTTGACATGTTGCTATCTCTTTTGCTCAGCTTTGTTGGCTGCTGGTCTCTGGAGCTCCTCAGGCCTAGGATCTCCTAGTATTTAATTACTCTTCCCTTTGTGACAACCTCTCTGTCTACACTACCGGGAAGTAATTCAGGACCTTTGGGAAACATACTAAAGAGATAAATCACAAGCAATACTATACAATCACCAATATGAGCCTATTTTAACAGGACTTGTCCTGCAACACTAGGGAGTTAGTACACTGAAGAGAATCCTTGTAAACTAACCTCAGGAAGTATGAGGCGAGTATTGATTATATAGCATCTGTAGGCTTGCTCACTGATCCAAGCTCAAGCCTGTAAATGCTCCTCATGGGTTTAGGGTCCTTGGATGGCTGTAGCTCTCATGGCAATGATTTGGTGAGGAAAAGTGTATCAGTCAGTTCTTACTAGAGAAAAACATTTAAGGTACACAAATATACAAGAATTTACAAGATTTTTTTTACACTTTCTACCCACAGAGTTAGATGTGGAAGAGTGCAAAATATCTATCTGTGCACCACTGATCTGAAGGATCCAAATGAGGGCTTGGAGATCAGTATAGTGTCTCCTTCCAGTCAGTACCATGAAACTGAAGTGCCCATAATGGAAGGCTGAGGCTGTGCACCAGAATGTTGAAGAGTGCGTGCTGGCTTCCCAGATATAATATTTAATGTGAAGACTGGAGCTCCTTCAGAGAATCTGAAGCAACTCATCCCTCTTCGTTTCCCTTTTGTACCATGCTGGATATAATCCTCCCTAGGATGGGCCTTTCATACCTACATACAATGCTGATCCAGTTTAGTTAGGTATTTCTTACTCAAATTCACACAACCCATTAACTATCATAGGCAGGGTGATGGGAACTCTTTGACTGACAGCCGTTGTGCCTGTTGGGAAAATGATGGCACTGAAACCAATCTTTAGGGTTTGGGGAATGCTGAAAATGTTAAAGTGGGCCCAAGTCCTCTCTGCCTCATCTTAGTCATCTTAGTTTTCAACCCTCCTTCAAAGAGGCAGCAGCAGTGTCTAAAGTACCAAGAGCAGAAGAGGGTCACCAGTGGTTACAGTGAAACAGAACTCATGTTAGAGCCTCCTGGAGGACAGGGGCTTCGAGGTAACCCAGGAAGATACTAGGCAAGTTGTCTCAGTCCCCTGGGGGTGGTGGTGCAACTAACAGAAAATGATTGTGGTTGGGGGCGATCCATGGCAGGAAAAGATGAGTCTTGGCATGTCTCATCACTCTCAGGGCTAAAATTCTTATGAAAATACCACATGTCTCAGAAATCTTTAAAAACTGGTTTTCTCTCTCATGTTTTTGTGTTGTGCTTCAGAGAGAAAGTCACATTAGAGACACTTTGTACTTCTAAAGAAGATTATGCTCCTAAAGATAATTGTTTTCCTTTTTCTGTGTTTCTTGTAATCTTTCGATCCATCTCTAGATTTACCTCATATGACTCTACTTCAAATATTAATATCTGTTTTTATTGCAAATGATGCTTTCTCATACAAAATAAAACATTTCTTCATTTGTTTTTAAAATCTATTGCTTTTGAACTTTTATTCTTTTATTTAGATATTACTGAAATTACTTATTGTTTTATAACATTAATTTCTTCTTAGTTTATTTGAATAAACACATGTCATCTTCAAATAGCATTGTTTTCCATATCTTCTTCTTATCCCTACTTTTACATTGAGTATTTATCCTCTAAAGATATAAAAAATAAAAATAATTAATAATCTTTTCATTTAGAAATTATTATATTGTGTTATACCTACTTAAATAAAACTTTTTTTTTTCTTGGCTTCAACTTTTTAAATTTTTCTGAGCATACATTAAGCATATCTTAATATATCTTTTTATAATCTTTTAATTTCTTCATTGCAACTTCTATAAAATTAACGCCATTATATTTTGTAAGCCAGTATTGGTCTTTTGTATAAGTTGTTAGACTTACAAACTAAGATACAAAGTGTGTAAATGAGATTATTTGTAACCTTAATTATTATCTCAATCACTTTCTTTTTGCTGAGACACACAACTCAATACCAAAACTTAAAAGAGGAAATGTGTATTTCAGATCAGGTTTCAACCCATAGCCTGTTGCCTCCAGAGCAAGATGATAAGGCAGAGGGGCCTGGAAAAGGAGAGCTTCTCACAACATGTTAGACAGAAAGCAGAGAGTGAATGCAGGAGCCTGGAAGGAATATATATCGTTCAAGGCCATGTGCTCAGTGATCTACTTCTTCTAACTAGGATCCATCTAGATGGCTATAACCTCATCAGTAAGACTAATCCACTATTTATTATAGTGCACCTAGTATCCAGTCACCTTTGAAAAGCTCTGCCAGTGAGGGCATGAGACTTTGGGAGAATATCTAGATATAAATCATAGCATTCTGTATCTGGTCCCTGAAAGATTCAGATGAATCTCTTCCTGGAAAAGCATTTAGTTTACCTTTAAAAGGCATCAAACTTTTACAAGTTCTATGATTACCAAAAGGCCCAAATCCAAAATTTTCCCTGAGAAATATGGCAAACTCTTAGCTACGAGAGCCTATAAAAATTAAAAAGAAATGTAAAAAGTACGGGCATAAAATGACACAGGATAAATATTTGTGTTTAAAAATGGAGGAACAGAGGAATAATATCAATTGGACCAAAGAAAAAGGATACCCAGCAGGGCAAACATTTAATCTTGAAGCTATATGTCCACCACACAGGGTAGGCTTTGGCAAGATGTAAACTGCAAAGGCTCGGGCAACCTTTCCACCACAAATGATTTCTTGCCTTATGATTTAGATTGACTTTTGCTCACTCCTTGTCGCTTTCTTCAGATAGTCCATATTCACGGTATCTCCAGATTTCTGGAGTCTTCACTACACTTTTTGCTTAAGTCTCATCACTTCACATAGTGTCCTCTCAGGAGAGCACTGTCTTGACTTTTAGCCCTTTGTCTGAAATCTGGATTGAGTGTTCCTGACTCTGCAACTCTTGAATTTGGTATGCTCATAAAAACAATACTATGTGGGTGATGCCAAAGTCTGCTGCCAGTTTAAGCAGTAATGAGGACCTCTTGAATCATGGATAAAGAGGCTTCTGAGTACCTGAGTGGCTGGACTTCATGAATTGAATCCTGGAGAACAAATTGCTTGGGATGCCATTGTTGAGCATGATGTTTTCAGGCTCCCTTCATAAAGTAAATTCTTTCTCTTTAGCAATTTTAAGCCTTTGAATGGAGGAGCCTTATTGATAATATCTGACATGCCCTTAAAGTCATTTTTCTGTCGTCCTGATCTAAAGTACTTCACTTCTTTCAAATTTTTTTAGGAGCCAAACTCTCCTCCAACTCATAGGCCCTCACTTTACAGGAGCTTCCTTTCTTATGTAAATCAAAACTTTAAAAAACAACTCAGCAGTGCTCTTCTACTTGATTCTTAAGGTAGAGCTGTCTAAAACCCCTCAGTGGTATTGAAGTCTTAGCTTGAATATTGAGCTGCTTTGAAATTTCCTCTCCCCACTTAACCCACTACCTTTATTCTCAAACTCTAAGGACACAAGCAAAGTGTAGATAAGTATTTTGCCAGTGCATAAAATGGCCTGAAGCCCAGTGCCAATGAAGATCTTGCACTCAGCTGAAACTTCCTGAAACTGGCATTTTCTGAATCTGTTCTTTTCTAGCTGTGTAAGTGTCAGCATTCTGATCTTCTGAACTCTGATCAGAATCTCCCATCAAGTTTGGCTTATAGCATTCTAAGACTTCACTAGCCAGTAACTTGCTTCCTTTTGAAATTCTTCCCCAAACCGGTACCATAGCCTTCAGAATTATAGTTAGTGTCACAGTATAGTACTTACTCTCTGCTACTAATATTTATCTTACAGAAACAATACCCAGCAACTTAAAAGTAGAGAGATTTATTTTGGTTCACAGTTTAGCTGATTGGTTGGTTCCAACTGCAGGAAGCACAGCAGGGTCTGCTCATAGCAGGAGGAATAGAGTGAAGGGGAAAGTCTGGAAAAGAGACATGCTTTCCACACCAGAGGCCCCGGGACTGCATCTTACACTCAGGCCACATCCTAAAAGCACGAATACTTATAAACACATTTTGGATTAATTTATTAATGAATAAAGCACATCCATGACCGAATCATTTTTCATAAAACCTAACTATGATCACGTGAGTCTTTGGGTGATATTTAGATGTAAATATTATATAATATTCCTTGTTATAAGAATTTATTTGGGTTGGAGATTTAGCTCAGCAGGCATAAGCACGTGTCTTGCAAGCAGGCAGTCATGAGTTCGATCCCCGGTACCGATAAAAAGGAAAAAGACAAAAAAAAAAAAAAAAAAAAAAAAGAATTTGTGTGTTAAAAACATTTCTGTCACTCTAATTATTTTCTTGGCTTTAAGGTTTCAATTTATTATCAAACTTATCCAGGTTTCTATTTTATATATTGGTAAGCATGAACTGTACATTCATTTCTCTTGTTATCCTAATTCCAGTTTTCATGGATTTTAAAATGAATTCCAATTATTTGTCTGCTATCAATTTCAGTTGTATTTTGAATGTGATGGTAATTTATTTTACATAATAGTCTATGGTTAAATTTTCTGTATTTAAATTCATATCATAACTTTTATAACTAGTGTTGTTCATTTATACTTTCATTTTGTCCTTTCAAACAGGTTAAAACCTTGTCCATACTTCATAATTGTTTATTTTAAAGAGAATAGAAGAAAAACAATAAAAATACAGATATAGAATTTCAAAACAAGATAGGAAACTAACAATGGGCATTATATTTCATATGTTTTTCCTTAACATTATTGCACAGATTACAAAACATAGGCATGCAAAATTGATCAGACACTATAAGTAAGTGCTAACTGTTTCTTTCAGTGAACTAATACAATAAATAGTATTTTCTAAATTCATCATTTTTAAGTATGATAAAGTATGTGTAGAATATATTTATATTTTTGCCATTTTTAAGTTTTCTGTGGCATTAAGAAATTTGCATTTTTGTTCAATCTTCAAATATTTTACTTTGAAATACTGAAATTATGTGTCTAATAAATATTAATCCCATGCACCTCTCTATTATCCTGATTTCTATTTTCTAAGTATCAAACATAAATAGGGTCAGAAATTATTTCTATTGTGTTTAGGCTTTTCACTTACCACAATTTCTGGAAAATTCATTCACATTGAAGCATCCAGGATGGTTGAAAATAGGCTGAATGTTTAAATTGAAAAAAAATTATTATATGAAGATATATAGTCATTAACTCCCCTTTAGAGACATTTCCTAGGTTATCCCATTTTTTTCTGCCACTTTTTGAAATAGTTTTGTGATTCCTCTTTCATGACTATTTTTACTACAAGGTATAATAAAATAAAATCAGGGAATCCTGCTGCCAAATGCTATTCAACAGGAAAGCAAGCTCACAAATATACTGAGGAGTATCATCATCCACCTTTTTCACTGGGTCTACAAGATTCCAAAATTGAAATGACCATGAAAGTTAAGGGTTTTGAATTTGTTCAGGGCAATGAGAAATCCATACAAGTGCCACAAAAGATACTCTGAAGAGAGATGTCCCAAAACTGTTTTAGAAAGTGGCAGGAATAGTTGGAAAGTGTGACTGAAGTTAAAGGGAAAATTTTGAGGGGGAAATTAATGGCAACGTACTGCAATGCTGTCTTAAAAACTTAGACATTCACCATATTTTTCAATTGTACATCATATATCAAAATTTCCTTTCTGTTTATAAGGTTGAAGAATAGACCATTTGTATTTATATAAAATTTGTATTTATACAAAAGAAATATTTTTTATTCATTAATCCATCAAAACAACTTGCTTCTACATCTGGCTTTTATAAACAATGCTATTATAAATAGGACTGTACAAATACTCATGTAAAACATTTTTATCAGTTCTTTTGGATATACAACCAGAGATGCAATTGCTGGTATTTTAAAAAATTAAAGAATTTTAATTCTGCTTTCTATATGGCTGTACCATTTTACATTCCAGTCAGCACTGTACTTTTTTCTACTTTCATTTATGTTTGCTTTTTTGCTAATTATAGTCACTTGGGTAGATTTGATGCAGTATGTCATAGATTTCAATTGCATTTTTTCAAATGATTACTTGTATCTTGCTACAATACCTATTATTGAAAGTAAGATATTGTAATATCTAGCTACTGTTTTAAATCTATTTCCATCTTCAATTCTATCAATGATTGTTTTATATATTATAAAAACTTTGACATTTGTTATACAAAAATCTATGAATATTATGTTTTCTTTGTGAATTGACCCTGGTGTTGTCACATATTTTTTTCTTTTCAAACAGCCTTGGACACAGTCTATTGTGTTTGATATTTTATTGATACTTCTGCTCAATTTTGGATACTGTTGGCAATATATTTCCAGCCTTTCATTTGTAATTTTTGCTTATACCAAAATCTAAAATGTCTT